AGTCTTCCATCTTTCCGGCAGGTAGGCTTGCTGACAGCGAGATTACCGTTTTGGACGGAAACCGGCGCTTATGTAGGGCCAGACAGGACTTTTTTTTAACGATCTACAACTTTCTGTAAGAAATGAATATGGCACATCTGGAGAAGAGCATCATTCTCTTTAATTCTGATTTTTTTCATTTTTTCAGTTCTTTGGGAGTAGTTTACTTGGGGGGTAGGGCACACTGTAAACCTCTGTAGAGCTACGGAATGTTTCGAGTTTCATTTCCAGAGCTATTTCGCACTAATAGGTTTACTCATCTTTCTAACCAAGATATAAACCGAAATTTTCATTCCGTGGTTCACAAGAGTTTCAGCGTAGTTTCCTACACTGAGCGCTAATTAAAAAAGGAATGACGTGAAGATTATCTCAAAGTAACCACTTCGTAGCTTCACAAGAGTGGAGGTCTCCACAAAAGTCTTGTTGGTAGGTGAACAAGAACTGTCGAACTGCTCCTTTTCTCTCTTCTTTTCCTCTTCCTCCTTGCCTTACCTTCTTTATGGGAATGAATTCAACGTAAACAGTGGAAACCCAGTGATATGTTATGTCGTGGTTCGGATGTCCTGCACAAAGGAGTGGTTTCACAAGCGGTGACGGGAAAGTCACAGTACGTTATTGTCAGCTGGGATCCATATGTTGGTTCAGACATTAGTTCGAACTGAAAACAGGAAAGTGGAAAGAAAGCGAAAAATATCGTCAGATGCATTTCTCTGTGATACTTCATACTAGATGCTATAGATGCTGTGTGCCACGGAAGAGGCCGCTCTCCAGAGGTTTGATGCAGATAATCAAAAGCAGCCAATGCTGTCTAGGACATTGGACTAAGTACTGTTAGAATTTGTCAAGTCTCGGTGGCAGGGTGCAGAGCTGGCATGTGTTAGCCCGCTAGAGTGTGGTCTCTCGCTAACTACATAGTCCCCTCTCACACTTTGTAGCCTTCATATGTGGGTAGAAAAACCAAACGACGGTAAGGAAGTCAAACCAGTTGGTAGGGGTAAATTTTAGGGCCAAAAAATAAATTACTTGAGCTAACACTTGATCATGTCAGTGCGTTCTTTGAAGTCGGCGCACACTTTTTTAGAAACAGTGGGCTAATGTATTTAGAACTTCCTACAACTTTTTCAAAGAGATTCGTGATGTTGTGGTTTACGTGTGGCTGTCTGTTCGGTACAAGGGGCGCATCAACTTGGGTATTAGAGCTTAACAGAATATTATTTATTTATTTATTTGTTTATTTATGCATACTATGAGCACCGGAAGAAATATTAGGTACTGTGCGGATGAATACAAGCAGTTCAATAAGTCAAGACTTGATAGAAAGAAGATAATGGGAAAACAAAAAGAAAAAACAAAGAAGGGATTCCAATAAAATACAACAAAGAACAACCATGCGTAACTGAAACTAGGAAAACCGAGTAAATCACGGTAGGAAGAATAATGAAAGAGTCGTAGCAAGTTGAGGAGGCTCAGGAAGACTTGGACATTTTTAATATGGTATTCCATCGTTCAAAGAGTAGCGTGTGAAACGTAGAAAAAAGGAGACTCGAAACCGCGTATAACAAGTCCAGCTTCGATATAAAAAGTACAACTCTGGATTAGGCTATTAAAGAGAGGTAGGAAGGCTGTTGCGATGAGCGTCCATGCCTGCGTCTGAACCAGCCGCCCATTGTGCCCATACGCCACAACCGATGTCATAGAAGTTTGCCGGCACTTCGAGACACAGATGTGCAGGCAAACACGTGGAACCTTTAGAATAGACAAGAGCGCGGCAGTACAGTGGACAATCCGTTAACTCTTTTATGCTGCGTTAGTCCACACAGCGAGCTTTCAGTGCAACGAAAGGATGGTAATCCGACAATCTTAATAATTGTAAAGCGACAAAGAGCAAATTTGTGACCATCTATGAGATCATATGAAGGAAGATTTTGCATAGCATTAGCGTCGAAAAGTTAGAGAACATGTTATGTGAATATGCAGAAATGTTTCGCATCGCAATATCGCAATACTCGTCGTCGCAAAATGAAAAATCAATAAAATTCAGGATGGGAGAAGCACGGGATGAGCTGTTGAACTGCTTCTGCTACTCATACCCCGTTTCGGCACGCTCCCGCGCGATCGTGAAGTTGATCCACTACACCTGATCTGCGATCGAGACATCACGATCACCTGCGATATTTTTAGTATTATCGCAACCTTATCAATAAGGTAGCAAGGGATGCATCGAAAAACCTTTTGCCCAATGATCGATTTGGTTCTTCCGTCTGTACCACTCCTGCCGTAACATAGCGGTATGTACGGCACGATGCACTCATCACATTACACACGAAGAGCGCACATGATGTCACAGAGAAATGGCTTTTAGTCTTTTTTTTTGAATTGCAAGAGAAGAGTTGTAGATATAGTAGCTTGCTAATAAGGCACGAAGAGGATTAAGTTCGCGTTCAAATTTGTGCCCAACCGTTTTCCTCATCACGCGCCACAATTCCACTGACATAACGATTTTTCATAAATCTCGATTGCAGAAAAAAAGATGTTTGCTTATCCGGCGTTTGGCCTCAGGAACAAATATCTCGAAAATGTCGAAGATGATTACCTGTATCATTTCGGATTTGGGTTAAAAACAGTCGATATTCCGAAGACATTTGGAGATGTTAAGGTACGTGCCAAATTTTTTGAATGCCGTTTCTTTGATTCATTCGGAGTATCTCACCTAAGATTAATCTGTCCTAATATAGTTTGAGGCGGAGATGGTGTAGTGACAAGTGGGGCGCTCACCATTCGCGCGGTCCCGGGTTCGAATCCCGGGTCGACTCCCGCCCAGGCCAACCAAGCCTTCTACCCTCCGGGACGGTGAATTGGTACCAGATTCGTCTGGGAGGATAAAACACTGACTTGTACATCGGCTGGCCACCGCAAGTCATTGTATAGGCCACATCGCATTCAATAACCCACTACGATTCTGAATGGAAGTAGAATGCGTGCCGCATCCCACAAAGGGATTGATCAACGGCGAAGACTTTATCCTTTATCCTTTATGATACCCTTGCCCTCCCCCACTCAAAAAACTTTCTCTCCGACGCGGGGCAGTTAAAGGAATAGTACACACTTATCGTATGGGCGGGGACAGTGAACTATAGTTTTAGACGGGTAAAGCAAAATGGCGATGCAAATAAAAGAAAATTACACAGCGATCGGTTTTTTAAAGGACAGCGCCCGCGTTCATTTGTTGTTCTCACGCCCTCTCTGGATCTAGTAGCTCCCCCTATGAGGATGGTGGACGTGCATGTTTCGCAACCCAAAAATGCGAACGGAAGGGCGTCCCGCCCGCAAAGAGCCTACGGCTCCGCCCACCTGCCGACCACGCCACCCAACTTCATTTCTAATGGTTGCCTGATGGTGCGGTTGTTCCATTGCTGCGTCTCTCCACGTGGAGTGGTGAGAGTGAGGTGATAAGGGAAAACAGCTGATATGAACAAGTGGAAACTCGTGCAATCACTCCTTCTCTTCGCCTTGAGCACGTACAACCGTTGTTCGGTATGAAGCTCCTTCTAAGGCATTTTGCGTGTTTTCTTCGATTTTTCTTCACTAATAGGCTTCTTGCTACCTCGCTGTTACTACCTGAGCCGCATACTCATTAAATTTGAACGCGGGCGCTGCCTTTAAGCTTGTGTGGACTGTGCTTTCAAGTGAGAAGAAAATTCGTGGTAAAGGAAGTAAGCTCCGTAAGGGGGGGGGGGCTATCCGGCGTTGCTTAGTGCAATCTTTGTCACTGCGCAACCTGTGAAACATTACTTTGCTGCGAGAAAGTATAGATACAGCTATGGGCTTTGCGATGGTATTGTATTTAGCCTCATCTAGCCCAATTGCTTTTCTCTTTCGGTATCTTTTGAAGATTCTTCCTGCCTAACATTGTCCATGAGTGCGCTCTTTTATAAATTTTTGCATCACATCCGATGCCTGCGATGGTGTGCAACTCACAGCGCGCGCGCTGCGGCGCGGCGATTCTCGTTCTGATCATTGGAACTATGGACGAAAATATTTAGCACTGTGGTATTTCCTGCCCTATCCCTTTGTGTTCGGATTTCTTTCTTTTTTTCTCGCTTTTCCTTAGGACAGACCTTTGCACATAGTTAAGAGCCTGACGACCGCTTGCCACCTGCGTCAATAGTGATCAAGAATGAGGCTGCGTTCATACTTGCGAAACGTCCACCATCGAGCCACTAGCTTTCCGAGCGTGCAGCTTCGGCAGCGTCAGTGACTGCAAAAATATAGATATTGATCCAGCTACTAGCAGTATAGATATTGATCCAGCTACTAGCAGCGTCCACCGGCGTCCAGTAGCGTCCAGGAGAAGAGGGCATGGAGCGATAGGAGGGTAGCAGACAGCCGGTACAATATGGGGAAATACGAGGGCAGCAGACTGCTGGTAGAGAATGTGAGCTATCGCCCCATAATCTCCTCTAGATCGTTACCTATACTTCCCCAGTCGTCGAGGCGCTGCTGGTCAGTGATGGACGCTGAGCGCGACCTAAACGATAGTACAGGAATCGGGACGGGGCACCGGATAGGAATAGCGCCACTTCTGAGCTCGTCTGCCGATCAATCGTTCCAACCATGCCCCGCAAGAATGCTATCATGGCTGAGGAGCGTCCAATTGGAGGTGCAATATGGGTGTGTTTACTGCCGCGCTACTGACCGGTCCCCAGCTACGCTAGCCTAAGGAATCTTCATTGCTAGAGCCGGCATGGTATGGCGGTTATGAGTTCATTTTCAGTTCGTATGCACAGGTGGTTCACCGACGAGACTGAAGTTGTACGCCGAATGGTTTTCCAAGGAGTGCAACTTGGAGTGCAGCGAAAATCTCTCGAAAAGCGATCGTTTTGTGATGTACAAAACTGGTCCAGTGCTTTGGATCAACGTGAGTTCATTTCAGACAAGTTAAGAATATGACCCAAGTGTACGCTGCTTATCGGAGCGTTGGGTGAAGGCGTTCAGGCGTTGGGGCGGCACATGCACTCTTGTTCGCTGCAGACGCTGTACGAGGGCGGGGGGCGGGGGTTTGGCGCCGATATGATCACCAGTCGTGGGAGCTGCATACTGACGTCGGTCAAACCACTGCTTCCTTCCTCTATAGTGCCCTAGCATAAGCCTGGACGTTCTGTCGGCGCCAACCTATCTCCATCAGTGGCTGTCCACCTCTCATTGTGGTGGGGTGACATGACGTACCAGCAGCAACCATATTTACTGAAGGTCCTTTCCGGAATGCTCTGCTCATACGATTTCTCGATAGATAGCGTCGTGGAAAGGCTTACTGTAGAGTAACTGATGCAGTGTTCCAGTGACTTCATGGTGTGGGGGGGGGGGGATCAAGCCCTTATCATTAGAGCACCCCTCCTTTTCACCTTCATAGATGAACGACCCGAAGGTAGGCCTGATCCCGACCATGCAAATGGCTTGGACCTATGCCTTCGAAGCCTGGCCGAAACTGTTGGTTTTTTAACAATTCCTGAAGTTTGGTCCACTGTTCAACGGAGTAGAACGTCGTAGGTGAACCATTAGCGACACTGCCGGTGAGCTAACGAAACCTCTTACCAAGTCCCTTTCGAAAAGATCTGCCTATCAAAATGGGAATGAGGCAATTTAACACTACTTCTCATTTCGTAGTTAGCGGTGAGGCCTGAGATAGAATCCCTCAGTCGAGAGACATATCATCTACCCTTTCAATGTAGGTTTGGCACATTCAAGGCCGGTTTGGAGTATGCGAGGAAGAAAGCGCTAAGCGCTTTACATCCGTTCCTTCACAGCCCATTCTATGGGGCAACTGCGCATCCCTGTGCCACTAAGGCTTTCAATCCAGGGTCAAACGCCTGCCGTTTCCCCAAAAGAATTCATCAATATCACTACTTTCGATATGTTTCAGCATGGAATGGGAACACCATCGTTGAGTATCATGTTGGTCGAAGCGTTGAAATTGCTGCACCACGCCAAGGCAAAAGACGTCAGGTGGGTTCTTCGTAACTAATTTGGCTAACGAGCGCGCACCACTACTAACACTCATGAAGCACATCATGGGACTTCAAGCCCAACAGCTATGCCACACCCTCTCCTTTCGTCCGTTTTTTTTTCTCCGAGTCGACGCCAAAGATACCTCTGTAACTTGCACCTATCCTGAACGATCGTTCAGCTTACGATCTCCTACGGTATACGTCCCGTAATCTTGGGCGTCCCACCTGCCTGCACCCCCGCATACAGCAGTAATATCAGAAACGTAATCTCCTACTGAATGCAATGTGGCCTATAAAATAACTTGTGTCGGCCGGCCGATGTTGACGAATACCGTTTTGCCACTCCTGAGAGGTATAGGGCCTGATCGGTCGGGCGGTAGCCGATCCGGGATTTGATCCTCGGACCGTGCGAGTGGTAAGCGTGCCACTTGCCACTACACCACTTCCGCCTTCCTTACAGCCTTCTCTTTCTACTACTTTTAGTGGACCCCTTTTAGTTGTCTCCATCACTCCAGACCGATGATCCATCCCCTAACTTGCTTGCTTAGTCCAAATCCCTACTAACGCTACGAGCGGGCTTGTAATTTGGTGAACGCTCTTCTAAGGCACTTATAGGACCTCACCAGTTGTTATCACTTGCTGTCACCCACTTACACTGTTTCTTTCACAACACGCATGCGCTCCATCTTCCGGAGACTGAAAATTCGTGGCGGCGTACTTCATTTGAGCTGGGCGGCGGCTCGTTTCTGGTGGGATACTTTCATTCAGAATGGAGGGTAATAACGTTTTCATCCAGCAAAATGCTGATGGGAGTTGTGTAAAATGGAGAATCCGCAGGGAAATGTGTCGCACGCCATGTTTAAATGTGGCACGAAACCAGACCCTGAATATCTTGAGGATGCTGGTCCGCTCAGGGGATCACATATAGCAGATGGATGGGAAACAACTTTCTAAACGTGCTAAGATTCCTTTGATTCCAGGTTCATTCGCCTTGGGACTTCTGGAGGAGTCGGTGTTGAGCCGGGAACTGTAGTTGTCACTACGAATGCAATGAATGGCGAACTTAATGACAAATACGTGCAGTGGATTGGTGGAGAAAGGGTACATTAGCGTTTTCTTATTGGTAATAGCGTTTTATATTTGTACCGGAGACGAGGTTGCTTAAACAATGCGTCACAACCGCTCTCCTGATAAAAGCGCGCTGGTTATGATATAGTTCATAGTTCGCGACATCGGTGATCGCGCGGTTGCAGAGTATTAATATTAGCCAAGCTAATCAAAGGGTTGTATTCTAGGTGCGGTCGGTGGTAATACTCGAGCGTACGTGCCCGATCGGTGACGGCGTTGCTCTAAAGAGATAGGATATTCACTAACGAAGCTCCCACAACATTTGCGATCGCGGGGATGAAGTTCCCAGTAAACCCGCCCACTCCCCCACAGCACACAAGCATAGTGGGACCAAACGAGTAGGAAACTCTGTCCAAGCCTGCCTGTGGCCTCTCGGTGCGTTGTCAAGGATCGTTCGGCAGAGGATCCTGTCCAGGCGACGCGCTGCTGTAAGCCTTTCTCCCATTTCCTGCGGCCGGGACGGCTCGATTCCCGTCTACGGCCGCGCCCGTCTATGACATTACAGCGATTTGCAATGGTAGCGCGCCGTAGCGCGACATCGCGAACTATGAACGCTGCCTAGAGTCTCAAACGCACGCGCTCTTTCACGAGTAGCGTCCAACTTCACATCGTCGGGAATTCCTAGCTTTCTACCATTTCAGCAAGCGCGATCCATATATCACTGGCAGGAATCCTCGGTCTCTCTCAATCTCTAGGCTATTTTAGTGACTTCGTGCACATAGTGAAGTACTTAAGAGCTTACCTAAACTCGTTATGTAAGTCGAGCGCTAATCTGGCAACAGGATTCGTATAACACAGCGACCTGGCGATGCAGACCTCATGAGGTGAACCTGTGCAATCGCTGTTGATCGTACATGGTGCACCGATTTCGTAGAGCACGTCGCCATTGTTGATGTCACTAAAGGCGCTATGTTAATCATTCATGCTGAAAAAACCCTCCTCGAAAGACAGGCGAGTGATAAATCCAAGGATACATTTCCACGATAAATAGAATCCCCTACCTGTACGAAATAGCCCGTACCACAGTGTGCCACTAGAGTTTGTAACGAGGGCCTGTAGCCATCAAAGGCCATAGTCATCCCATCCAGGACTAGTGGCTCCTCCCAAAGATGACCGCTATTTAGCCAGTGCGTTCGTGTATTTGGACGTCTCGCTCAAC